CCTCCCCCCCGTGAGCACTTTCTCTTCTCTTCCTGCTGCTCCCTCTCCCGGTGTCTTCATGTTCTTCCCACCATGGGTCTGTTAGAATGAGATGGCAGGGAAATGGCAGATCTGTCTAAAATCCTTTGGTGAGGGTGGAAACAGAACTACACTACAACTATGTTTGTTTTCACTATCAGCGTGTAATAGTCACGTTTCCCTTGGTTTCGCGTTTGTATTTGTTTCTGAAAGCGGCCCGGAATGGTGGGCAGTCCTGGAGCCCTATGCTCTGATCCTTCCTTCCACACTGCTGGAGGAGCCCTATGCTCTCATCCTTCCGTCCACACTGCTGGAGGAGCCCTATGCTCTGATCCTTCCTTCCACACTGCTGGAGGAGCCCTATGCTCTGATCCTTCCGTCCACACTGCTGGAGGAGCCCTATGCTCTCATCCTTCCTTCCACAGTGCTGGAGGAGCCCTATGCTCTGATCCTTCCTTCCACACTGCTGGAGGAGCCCTATGCTCTGATCCTTCCGTCCACACTGCTGGAGGAGCCCTATGCTCTCATCCTTCCTTCCACAGTGCTGGAGGAGCCCTATGCTCTGATCCTTCCTTCCACACTGCTGGAGGAGCCCTATGCTCTGATCCTTCCGTCCACACTGCTGGAGTCCGTGCTGTGCAGCAACCAGCTTGCACCGCTCACAGGGCCAGCTGTGCACACTCCCGAATCCACGGGCAGGACAACACACTGCAAGCTAAAAATCAGACACGGTGGGGAGGAGGGGGATTTAAATAATGGAAATCGGCACATACTATAAATCAAGGTGTTTTGTTTTACTTTTCTCCTGGAGAGCCAGAGTTAATATTTACTAACACAGAGGGTCAGAGATGACAGCGGCCCCACAGAGAAGCAGCCTCCCTATGTCTTCGTCGCTCTTACTAGGAGCTCTGGGAGCCGCCTTACTTTCTAAGGGCAGAAGTGAGGCAGCCAGGAGTGAGATTGCCCGGCTTGCTGCTATCCATGGGCTGAGCGCCCAGGCCTCCAGCAGCAAGGAAGAGCTGGCTCAGCCTGTGAGGGACGCCTGCACGCCTGTCCTCGCTTGCTGTAAGAAAGGAGAGCTCTCAATTACCATGATTTCATGGGCGAGGCAGCCGCAGGTTTCATCTCCAATCGTGACATAGTTTAGTGATTCTTTAACAAACTCATCGGCAGTCTTGGTTATCAGGCTGGTGCTGAGATACTTTGTCATCGAGGTTGAAACAGCGTATGGGGTCAGCACCTACAAAGGGAAACAAAGCAGTAACGCAGGAGCAATAGGCCCAACCCTGAGAAATGAACCCCCACTTCACCATCCCGCCATTTCCCAACTCTGTTATTCCTGTAAAAAGTCTCAGGACCCGAATGACAAGGGGGCATTGAAAAGGCATAGGAGGGGCATAGAGCTTGGAACTGGGCTTCTAGTTTCCCTTTGCCACTAATGCAAGATGAGGCCCCAGCAACACACCCAGGTGGCTCAGGTGCACACAGGGCGCTGAGGACATGAGCATCTCTCAGAATATGGTTGCCAGGCTTTGAAAATAATAGTGCAGGACACTCAGATTGAATCCAGAAAAACAACAAAATTCAGTATAATTATGTCCCAAGTATTCCATGGGATATACTTACATTTAAATTTTTATTTGTTATTTATCTGAAATTCAAATTTAATTGGATGTTCTGTATTTTATCTGGCAATCCTATCTCAGGAGTTCATTTCTAACATATCCAGCCAACCCTGGAGCAATTTAAAGCCCTCTGGGTTCCCACCTTCCCACCGCAGTTAGGAGCCAGGAGGGGCACATGCCTCGCAATAGCTCCCGTGTGGTAAAAGAAACAGCCAACCACACAGTGCACCCTCTGAATCTGGCCCCGGTTTCCACCAGTGGTCTCACCACCTGGGGCCCAGCAGGAGGTTCCCCCGGGGGGGG